ACCCTTTCTGTTTTTTAAAGTTACGCCCAACTTGCTTACCTGGGGGTTGCATAAAGAATTGTACCAAATGGGTTCTGGGCAGAAGGTCCATAAAAGGCAAAACAAAATGGTACTTGAAGGGCCACCCAAAATAGCTACCCTGTTGGGAAACCTCTAAAAGGAACTACACAAATTGACTGCCCTCTTGTGGGGGAGGACTAGTGGTGGGACAGTTTTCATGACGTCATCAGTTTGATATCTTGTTACACATCTCATTCTCATGCCAACTGCAAGCATGCTTTTGATTTTAAAAACTTATTTTATTACATTCCATTCTTCAGTATATTTCATGTCATTGTTATTTCCCACTTATTTATATGTGTATAAATTGTACACTTCAGCAAGTTACAAAATAAGGAACACAGATCACATTGAAAGCATAATAAAAGAACCTTCTTTCAATAATACAGTAGAGACAACTGAATTAGAAAAGAGTCTTGGCAAAGTGAAGCAATTTCAGATTATGCAATTTTAAAAATCAGCAGTAAATCACCAAATTTAGTGACAAGCCGGATCACATTCTACCTTTGCCCACCCAATCCAAACCCTCAGCATTTCAGCAGCCTTTTTATGCACATCTTCTTGTTTATAGTGTTTTTTCTGAGACAAAGCTATCAGAAATACAAATACAAATCAAATCAGTTTATTACAGCCAGAAGACCAGATACAGTAAAATATCTAATAGAACTGTTACATACGTCTATATATGTAACAGAAAAACAGTGAGTATAATAGAATCTAAAAATAAATAAGAACATATAAAATAAAATACAAATAGTATTATAAAAAGCGATGAATAAATGAATATCCAAATTTAATTGATGATGCAACATATTGTACAGATGGTAGCACAAAGCTGGGCGACTTGGGAGGATATTTTTGAGTCCTTGTCTGAAAGAAGTAACAGTAAATAGAAATCACATTCCCAGCCCAGAATTTTTTTCAAGATTGGATAAATGAAGGTCTGTCTAGACTAGAGTCCTTATATAGGGAGCAGCATAGTAGCATATGGCTTAGAGTTTCTATTGAGCCATCATCACATGGACATAACCAGAGAGACATAGGAGTACCCTTAAAATGTCCAAAAAGGACTGCTGAAGTCAATGCTTACAGCCTGGCTAAAGTGAAAGCCTTACAAAATTTCAAAATTGTGATGATTAAATACAGGTAATCCTTGTTTACCGACCACTCCTTCAGCGACTAACTCCTTTCACACCAGTCTGATGATATATTTGAGCTTTCTACCACAACTCTGTATTCTTTTTCTAGTCAATCATCTTTATTTTACTCAGTATCTGCACATATGTAGTTTTTTGGGAGGGGTTTGCCCCATGAACCTAACTTTGCATTTGAACATATTGCACTGCATTTGCCATTTTAATAGCATTTTCACATCTTTAAATGTGAAAGCCCTTGGAATACATTTGTGTTGATTCTGCTGATGATTTTCTCTTTAGGTGAGAGTATGGATTTTTAATTGTTTTTAAAATTCTTATTATATTGTTTGTGCTTTTTTTTTTCTACTCTTTCCTCTTGCATTTGGTTCATATTTTAATTTGCTTTTTGTTGTAAATATATTGTTAATTACCTTAGGTTCTCTAATAAAATAAGTTACAACAAATACACATTTAATCTGCAACCTGATTTATAAAATCAATGAACTCAAGTTTTGAAGAACACTAAGTATGTCCTGTGACTTAAAGTTGAAATTAATCCATTAAAATATTGTTTTGACACCATCTAGAATGTTTTTTAAAGGATGGACTAATGATTATTTATGTTGGCACTGCAAGAAATTTGAGGGCATTTTAACTCATACGTTATGGTCATGCCCTTTCTTACGCCCCTTTTGCAGTAATGTTATACAATACATTGACAGAATTATTGAGAAAACTCTGCTTATTAAAGACATGTATATACCAACTATTTGGAATTTAACATGCTCAGAACAAAGATGGGTTCTTCACACTCTAGCAATAGCAAAAAAGAATAATCCTTAGGAAATGGAAAAATACTATAATTCCAGTTATAAAAGATTGGCTTTCAGAAAGGCTTAGCAATTTTTGAGAAAATTATATATTTGGTTAATCAGAAAATGTCACTTTATCTTTCCCTTTGGAAAAATTCTTGCACAGGCTTGGTCAGTATGAAAGCTTTTTTTTTTTTTTTTAAGATTTACAAGATCAGGTGAAGTCAGGACATAGTTGTAATCACAGTTTTGTTCTTTTCATGTTTTCATGAAAACATATTTTTCATGAAAACATATATTGCTCATGAAAACATATTTTCATATTTTTTGGTGGTATTGCTGTATAAGGTTTTTCTTTCCTTGAGTATTTGCATGGGGTAAATAGTTCATTTTTATTTTATCTTACATAATGTTATGTTTCTTTGTCTGAAAATGGATTGGTAAAAACTATAAAAAATAAAACTTTGATGAGAAAAAAATTGTGCTTCATTTTATTTATAAACAAAATATAAATAATAAATGTATTGTTTAGTTATATATAATGCACACACACATATTATATGCTAATATGCATATTATGCATAAATAAATATTAGGCTATATCATATAGCAAAATACACTGATAAACTTCATGCAAGAAAAGCGTGGTCTAGTATTACTTTAGCTTTAAAACTAAAGAACTGTTTAGAAATGGTTATATCTCCATTTCATCTAAATAAGCATCTGAAAGCCTTGATGGATTTTGTGTTTATGTTCAGGAAATGAGTGATCTGATCTTTAAAAAGAATGAAATGAGTCTGATGTTCCCTAAAGCAAATGGTGGTGAACCTTTGTGGCCACTTTTAAGCAGGAATAAGAATGGAGATGCCAGAAGGAAGGTATCAGTAGTATTATACAATACTCGCTACAATACCAATTGCAATGAAATTATTTCTGGTACTTGTATTAACTTATATCAGATACCTGCATTAAACCTGAGAAGTCCTAAACTGCCTGTTGAAAAAATGTGAGAAAAGCAATATTGGCAATCTAAAAACACTAAAACAAGGATGTATAGTGACAAGGCTGCATCCCTGGGTCAAAGCTTAGAGGTGCCAACCTTGTCTTGCAGAAGCCCTTTGGATATATTGACCCTAGCCTTGTCTTCCTGGCAATTAGTGCCACCGCCCCATCTTCTAGGAAGATGTCCTTAACTGGCATCTGCCCCACTCAACATTGGCATGTGAAATAGACAAGGGAAAAAATATGGCAAAAATGAGACAAATTCTTTAATCACTTTCTGACTCTGTAGCATAAAGCTTGTGATCAGAAAATCTGATTAGTTTCACAAATTAGTTTTTTAAAAAAATAATACATGCATTCCTTCTTAGTTTTAAATGGTTACATGTAAAACATATTCTCTTTATCTCCTTTGCCATTTAGAGATCTAAATCACCAACTGCAACTGCAATTATCTCCCATAGTAAAAATACACGGGAAAAGTTAAAACTGAGTAGATCATATTTGTCTAATACCTATGACGCTCAATCACTGAGCTTACATAGAAAACATAAACATCAAACAATTAATATCTTTATTATCACATAAACATCAAAGTCAATTTTAAAAATCTAATCACAGATTGGATTATATTACTTATTTCATGATTTGGGAAGTATCTGTTAATCATGGAAATACTGGATTGCATTACAACAACATGCTTTCCATGGAGCCAAATTTCTTGAGTGTCTAAAAACTGGACTGCTATTAAAATCTTAGGCATACAGAGCATATTTTTTAAAGTTTTTTTGATAACCTAGTAAGAGCTCTTCCGCAAAGTAAGTTACTGAGGCACAGAAATTCTCTGTCAACCCAAAATATATACATCAACCAGATGATGCAGCCTTCAACTGATTCCTAACCCATAGTTAAAGTGTTACTGTTTTATTTCTTCTGACACCTGAAAAACATCTTTTGAATTATTGTTATATCTGGTGTGTTGTTTGCTAGATGCTGAACAGTTTGTGTGCAAACATTCCATAAATGTTCTAACATCATTCTAAATAACACTTTCACTTTTGCAATCATATATTTGGGAAACTTGGAAATTAGAATTTTGCACAGATGCCAATGGATCATAATGACTATTCTGTCATGAAGTTCTTTATAGTCAATCTAAGCATTTTTGTTGCATCCATTTGTTTCAAAAAGTCTGCACTTGCTGGTGTTTGATATGCTTTGAATTCTTGATTTCATCATGTTTGTTTGTAATGCTTGGTCTTAAGCTGCAAAAATTAAACCTCCGGTCATTGGTTTGTATTTGCTTGCAGTGACATCCTTGTCTCTGTCTTTTATTATTAAAAATGTTGTACCAGTTATCAATTCTTCACATTTTTGTAATATTTCATTAAACTGAGTAGCCAGTCTTTCATCGAGAGTTCTAAGATGTTTAAGCCTCATTTTTCTTGGTGCACACCAGTTCTTAAACTTCTTTGCTTGCTTTTTAATAATTTCTGATGTCACGACTGAGCCAATGTCCTCAATCTCTTTGGGTGACTATGTAAATATACAGTTTCCTTATTAGCTTCCCTAGAAGTAAATGCATGCATTGGGACATCAGGGAGTTCCTCAATTTTGGATCAATTAAGATCTAAGCTTCACTAAGATGGACTGGATAAAACATGTATTATTATTATTTTCAATTTATTATCCTCCTTTTCTAACCAGAGGCACAATGAAACACAAAAAGTACTGAACTTGGACACACCTCAGGATGCTAATAGTAAGACAGACTAATCATTCTTAAAACATCTGTTTTTTCAGCCATTATATCAGGAATGTGTAAAAATGGAAGACACTGTTGCCAAAAAAGCCTAATTTGTTAGCAAATTGTGATATTTTATTGTACTAGAGGTATCTTGAATCACTGTCTAGGAAAACCTACCTTAGAACATCTGCAGATGAATAATTGTTTGACTTTTTCAAAAAAATTATAAAATATAAGGACACTTACCCCACAAGCTTCTGAAAAGTCTCAAAGCGTTGCTGTGCCCTTCCTTTCCATCTTCGTTCAATGAATGGAGGAACAGGATTTTTTTCTTCTAATTGCACAAAGTGCGATGGATAGTGAATCAAATTACTAAACATGGCTTTAAATTCTGGTATTCTCCTCTTTTTATATGAAAAAAGACAGAAATGCAACATGTATGTTATTATATAATATCTAAGTCAGGCCTAATATTTATATGCAAATATAATTCTACTTATGATAATGGTCAAACTTTTAAATAATATACATGTTTTAAGTCATTTACATGAAGAAAATATTAAGACTTGGTTTTCTCTTTTTGTGGGTTTTTTTTTTTGGATTTTATTTACCCTTAGATCATTCAAATAGCTAAAATGTTCAACTGCCAAGACAGGATTTGCCAGACTTCCCAGACAGAAAACTGCTTGTGAAACATAATTTTCTCTTTAGTAAAACATTACAAGTAAACTAAAACCATACTAATTAGTATCTTTAAAAATGGTCAAATTTAATTTTCTGTTATATACAGTTTAAAATTATTGAAGAACTGTATTAATCATGGATAGTTAATAGTTATATTTAACTTGCATAGAGACACATACGCAAACATTTATTCCATTATGTTCTTCAGTGCTTAAAAAGTTTGGAAATTTCTGTTGTACACAAGCATCTCAAACTATTATTCAAAGAAATCATTTAAGAATCTATATCTACATAAATTAGATGTAGGTATAGGTAGAAACAATACCTTCTTTTTGCAGTTATTATTTTACCTGAGAAATAGATTTCAAATTACCTAGCAACAGCAAGCTATTTTTTATAGAAATGAAAATATTCTGTAAAATAGTTTTAGACTATAATCACCTACCATTTCATCATGAATTAGATGAGCTTGGATGTTTGCCTGTGCATGATCTCTTTCACTTGATAGCACATACAATGGATCTAAATACATATAAAGAAATGGAAACACTTTAATACATTTAAGAAAGTATATTAGGCTACATAATCCTGTTAAACATGTATTTATTCATAGTTTATATCTTCTCTAATGTGGCTTCCAATCTAATTTTAAGACTGAAACTGCCTTGTATACTCTGGTGTAAGTTCTGGCCTAGGACAAGGATATGGGAAATTAATTGTGATTATACTTTGGGAACCCTCAGTAGTCTTTATTTATATTTATTTGTCTTCTTAATAAATGAGGTGGTATAAAGAAATACAAAAGAAATCAAATCATTCAATGAAACAACAAACAATGCCTACAAAAAGCAAGTTAAAATTACTGTATAGATAGGTATTTGCAAATGGACTTTAACAAAAAACAGAGCATTATTACAAAGTCAAAAGCAGAAAACAAGTAAACAAATGCATAATTATTAGCCTTTTTCAAAATCCAAGTGGCCTAGAGCAGGAAAAGGCAGACTTGTGCAAGGTGGCTGAATCCATTTGATTATGATTCCTATTCCATTCCCTTTACTTACAGAGGTAATCTCAACTCAGCTTCCTCTGCTGAATGCTAGGTTCAACAATTAACATCTTACAAAGCTATCTCTACAGGAGTAGTGCAGATCTTGTAGTCAGGAATGGGGTATTGCCATAAGGATTTCTCTTCCTTTCCTGCCCCCCTTTCTGGAATCTCATTTATTTCAAGGGAATATACCTTGTCCTAAACAGTTTGGTGATTACAAGCATTCTGTCCCACTGCTTAACAGAGTCCCTGACTGAGCTAAATATGGATAGACTGGTTAGAAACAAGGTTTTTGATTTGGGGGAATTCCAGTTTTTATGCTGAACCAGGTATAGCTCAAAACTCATGGCTTCCACCCAGTTTGTTTCAGAATCCACCTATTAGGCCTCAAGCTATTTTTTTTTTGTCCTGGAGAGGAGTTATCTGTACTGGGGTACCAGAAGCAATGCTCTTACAATGGAACATATTATTGCTCATTGAAGACTGTGGTGTCACAGCATACTTTCTTCCTTGGGGCAGAGAACAAACAGGTTTTTCTGTCCCTGAAGACTAATGGACCTGGTTAATTTCCACATTATCCTGGTCAACTATTCTAATGACAACCTGGTTGGATATACTATGGAAACAAGCCAGTTATATTGCTTGTTTCTTGAGGAATTGGATAATTTTCTAGGATCTGTTTACATTACTACTTTTTAGCTTTTTTTCCAGCTTGGCTTGTAAGGGTCTCAATGATATTGACCTGCCAATGAATTCTACAGTTATTAATATATTAAAGCTCTGAAGCCCTCGCTTAAGAAGCCATCTTTGGACCCAAATGATTGTAATTACCCCTAGAAAGTCAATAATATACTATACTTAGCCAGACTTCTGGAGAGAGTGGTAGCACTGACTTCTAGGGACTCTTAGCAGAAACAGATTATCTAGATACTTTCCAGCATAGATTTAGACCCAGATTTGGCACAGAGATGATCATGGTTCCCATGATTATCTGTTTCAGGAGAAAGTTTATGGAAATGTAACTCTGTTGGTAATGGTTCTAGATACCATTGTTATCACAATGTGCTCTTAAAAATCTTAAGAAGCTGAGGTTGGAGGCAGTAATTTGTGATGGGTTCATTCCTACCTTTCTAGGTGTTGTCAGAAGTGGGACTGAGAAACTACTGCTTTGGAATTGTCATGGTTTGGTGGGGGGATTGTGGTGGAGTTCCTGCAAAGCTCAATCTTGAAACGCAGGTTATTTGATATTTATCTGAAACTGCTAGAAAAGATTGTGCATGTGTTTGGAGCTGATGATACTGGTTTTATTTCTCCTTTCTTAAAACTCAAGGTTGGACATTTCAGGGTATTTATATATTTCCACGCTGTAATGGACTGAATGTAGGAAAATTAGTTGTAGTGATTCCAAGGAAACCAGAATTGTTGCTGATTCTAGAGATTGGACGTCGGGATTCAGAAGATGTGGTTATCCTAGATAGGGCCACACCAAAAAGTTGCCCTCTCCTGTTCTAACATCAACACTGGCATTAAATTCAGCTAACCTTTAGTAAAAGCCATTCTACTTCTTATAATAATTTTATTTTTTAAATTAGAAAACAGAAGAATGGGGATTTATTTTTTAAATTGAAAAGAGAAGAATGGGGATTTCCTGTGATGTGGACTTATTTTTTAAAGTTAACAATAGTTGTTCTATGTGATAAGCATTATTCTAATATCCTGTTGCAACCCCAAGCCCTAGTGTATACTTTGAGAAAGCTACCTAGTCCAGAAAGAATGGCACTGAACTTTTTTAAAAGTAAGCATTCTTTTAGAGTATTCACTGAATGCATTCTCTGGTGGATCATGAGAATCCTTAAAAATAATATTCAGCCAATAATAGAATAATATGCCAACATCTGTACTGGTGTAGTCATTAGTTCTACTCTACAGAGATTAAAAGAGTCTGAGAAAAGTCAAAAGATCTCTTTAGACCATACTGCCCTATTTCTCAAGATTTAAGTCTTCATTTAATTTGAGCTTAAATAAATTAAATGCAGGCTAAAAACTTTTCTTAGACAGCTGTAAGTCTAGAACAATGAATTGACAACTTTTAAATAGTTTCACAGAAATATAACTGATAGTGTTTTCAGTTATGTATTTAATATGCTACATGTTCCAGTTGAGGGTCTGTAAAAAAAACCTATATCCATGTATCTAAAAACTAAAGCTTGATTACTCATCTAATTGCTTGAGTTCTTTTTTGAAGCACCATATTCATTCTTGAGTAATTACATTTCAGATTTTTTTTACAGTGTTCAATAAATATCTGCCAAAATACAGTATTATCGCATTTGCTAAAGATTATAACCTCTTTTGAGAAAGAAATAGATAAAAGTGCAACAGATAAATATCATACCATATAATTTGTGCAGAGATTAAAGAGAAATAGTGCAGAGTATACTCCCTTCTTAAATTTTAAGGGGATCAGAGAGTTCCTCATATTCTCAAATTTAATCTTATCTGAACTATTCACATAGAGAAGCTTTATTTTTTAAAAAAGGGATAAAGTCTTTCTTGAAGTGAGCTTGGAGTGACTTCATGATTATATCCACATAGTTTACTTTGGAAACAATATAGAAATGGTTCCATTTTTCAGGATTTTTTAACTTTCCAGTCTTCCTGGCCTTTTACATAAGATGAAGTATGACTTCCCAATGTAGCTTACAGCCCTGGTATTTCTTGAATGACTCCCATCCAAGTATTAGGTAAATCTGACTTTACTTAGCTTTTTGATGTCAGCTAAGATGGGTTTAATGCTGCCATCTAGCTGGGGTCTTATTAAATAAAGTTACTGTATTCACTGATTTGTAATCTGTATTAGAATCTTTCCCTTGTTATACTATAAAATGCAAATGATAAATGAATACTGTAGAAATAGAAACAGTTCTACACTGTCTTTCTGAACACGATACTCTAAAAAGAAACAGAAAAACTGCTTGTTCATAGGTCACTCTGTCTCAGCCCAGCCTACTTCAAAAGGTGGTTGTTTTGGGGAATTTTCTTTCCAAATCACTTTCTAACATTGTTCTCTCCAACCTGAACTGGCAATTGAATTCTATTTAGAATGCTATTCTAGAGTGCAGGTGGAAGCATTCTATGACATTTAAGCCAGCTAGAAAGTCTCTCTTATGGAATTATCTCTAAAAGTGACTTATTTATCATAGCAAAGAGAAATACTAAAGCCTGGAATTTGCATTACTCTGAAACTTTTATCAAAACTTGAGGTCACTGGCTGTCCCATTTGAATTTCCAATTTAACTACCATGTAGGAGGACAATTAATTCCTTACTCACTCTATATAAATCAAAATGTTTATGTTTACCAGCCCAGTAAGTCAGCCTGGTGTTGACTAATAAAACATTGTGCTGAACTAATTACCCCTGCGTCTAAAAAAACAATCTTGATCCTCATTAGTCTTCATGAATTTCTACAGTTGAGAAAAAGTCCTACAGTTTTGCTGGAGATTTAGTTACTTGAAGCGCTTAAATCCTATAGAAATTAATTGAATTTAATATTATTTAATTATTCAATATTATTCAATATTTAATTTAATTTAGCAGGCCACAAGTTAAACAGGTCAGCTAAATGTTATTTACACTAGTTCTCTAATAGGGGAGAAATACCCTGAATAAATAAACATACAAAACCTCTTGGGCTGCAGTAGCAAATATGCTTTAGCTAAGCCCCCTCATTTTGAACATACTGCCCTAACCTAATGCAGAGGCAGTATAAACTAATTTGTCCGATATAATCTTCAACAGAGCTTATTCAACTAACTCAAAACAATTCATACATTACATCAGTGTTAAATTTTTCTGCCCATACTAACTTGGGTCCTATTTCCATGCAAAACTGGATGGATACAGTCCATTGGGACTGTATGCTCGTGGGCTGGATTTTACACCTGCCAATTATCAGTGACTGTGTTCTCAGGACATGTTTACTTATAGTTAGCTTAATTAAGACAACCAATCCAATTTTCTTAGTCCAGAACCCACTGAACCACAGGGTTACATTCACAAATTAGGCTAAATCGGCTGGCTGGTTTGTGGCTCAGTGTGCCGTGCCAATCAAGCCAGTCACTTCCCGACAGTTCACTTCCTCGACCTGTATAGAAAAGCAACCCCCCCCCCGCCCCCTTGGCTACCGTAAAGGAAATCGAAAGCCCGGTTCGGAGCCATCCTCCTGCGATACCGGATCCCAGTATGGTCCAGCGCCCGAGTAACGGTCATCGATTGACTCATCTTGCTGCCACCTCGGTCTCAGCCGCCGCGTCGGAAGGCTGTAGGTGTCCTCCTCATAGCAACAGTTTCCACAGCAACGCCGCCGAACTAAAAGGGTGCCGCGTCGTTTCCTGGAGTGATACCATAGAGCTGGAGTTCGAGTGGCAGATCGCCCAGCTGCTAAGTAACTCGGAGTCTTGACGCTTTTGCCTAGAAAAAGGGAGCATTGTGGCGGTACCTGCAAGGTTTCCTTTTCAGATAGGAGCAAGTTAAGAAAAGAGCATTTCCATAAGTAATATATTTCTGGGAGAGTTTGTCTCGAAAATTCAAAATAGTCACTCGGAAAACTGAAAAGAAGTAATCGAGTATTATAAATTCCAGCCGAAAGAGCCACTTGTATTATTTTTGAGGGATACATTTATCCGCATTGAATGCTGAGCAAGTTTCTTTACAATCGATTCCTGTGATTTCACGGACATATCCATTCTCGTCTTCCGGTTTTTTGTTTGTTTGTTTATTCCCTATAGTCGTGGGAACCGTGTTTCTCAACCTTGGCAAGATGTGTGGACTTCAACTCCCATAATTCCTCAGCCAGCCATTTTCTTCCCTGTACTAGTCAGATCCGGCGCTGCTTAACTTTCTGCTGCCACCTAGTAGGGCTTTATGAGTATTACCTCAATAAAAGCGTATTTCCAAGAATTCAAAATGAATAAATAACAAAAGTAATATTTCCTTAAGAAACTTCTTCATCCTCTGCTTGGTCTTTCATGGCTCTGCAGTTTACAGTTTGCATATAGAGCATCGGAGATGTTACGTCACAAAGGACGGCTGGGAGTACTAAAACGTAGTGGCGACAGCGGAAATCCGAGACCAAAGCGGCCCTTCCTTGAGAGGCCTGCGTCCTGGCGGCTTCTGCGCATGCGCGAGTAGAAGGGATGTCGAATCTGGCCTCCTGCGATACGGCGGGTCTCCAAGCCCCCGCTCAGGCGGAGCAAAAGCCGCCGCCTTCGCTGAAACCGTGTTGTGCCTGCCCCGAGACGAAGCAGGCGCGCGACGCCTGGTGGGTAATGGGGGTTACGGGAGAAAGGGCACGTGGGTGAATCAGTAACCCCACCGTGACGCGTGGGGCGCGAGGGACAGTTTAGCACCGGCGGAAAACTGTCGAAGTGGCCGAGCTGCAGAGGCAAATCCCCCTAGGGTTTTTTAAAGCGCCTCTTCCAGATTGGACCAAAGTTGGTAAATGGCTAGGGGAAAGTTTGTCACAGTCATTCCGTGATACGAGAAGGCGCGTCCTCATCGCTGGAGCAGCAGAGATGTGCTGTTTCTCGATTAAGACGTAAGATAGTCCCGCGTCTTGTTCCAAATGAAAGCGCGGAATTCTTCCTGGGTGGAAGTGGTGCCACTAGAAAATAGAGGCGCTCATTTCTAACCCTGAAAGTTTCTTGTTTTTTATTCTGTTCTCAACAGTTTAAAAACAGCGGCCTTGCCAGTGCCAGTACAAACGTTTTATTACCCATGTTGGAGGAGACTGGCTGGGAAAGAATAAAATCACACTATTATTGACATTTATAATGTCATAGTTATACACAAAATGTGTGTGTGGCCTCAGTCATAGACCATGAAGTGGCCAATTGTTGAACTGGCAAATTAGTATAAAAAGGTAGCAATTTAACACATAACTACTGTTAAAAACTTACTGAATAGTATACCTATAACTCAGATATAACAACCTCATTTCTTGAAAAAACTGCAGAAGCCAGTTATTGGCTGTTGCTACTGCATTTTCTAAAGGAGATTTGGTTGGTCTGATTCAGATACACTGAAGCTATTCTTTAATGTTTCAAAATTTGCAAGTATTAGGAAACTTGTTGATTACAGTTTTGAAGCTACCCAGCTTAGCATTGTTTCAGTTCATTTATTATTTATTTAAAATATAAATGGGCAGAATCTCAGAGTTTCTAGTACGCACTAAAACAAAAGATTTATTAAGATGACTGTTTTTAGAAATAATAGACTATTTTAACAGCAGTTTAAAAGCAAAGCATACTATAGCTTAACTTGCCCCAAATGGTTTAGGCCCTGGGTGGACAAGAGGGTCCCTGCACCTGTCAGTGTGCTTTGCACTCCCTGAAGATCCTGATGGCAGCAGTTGAAGGCAAAGCCCTCTTTCTGCAAGTGTTTAACTAGTGTCTTGTGGCAATAGCACTGTCTCTAGCACTTAAGTCAAGGAAAGGCAGAAAGACAGCAAGAGGATGCCCTGCTTCTGGAAGTTTGATGAGAGCAGGATCCAGCCCCCTAACAAGAGGACTGACCAAGGAGCAGAAGGCTAGCTGTCCAGTCTTATTCTTCCATGCTTACGTGACCCCAGCCCTTTCTGTCATGTAATACATATACATTATATGTAAAAATAAAAATCCATATATTGTTAGGGTGGCCAAGTTAATGTTAAAAATTATTTTACAGTTGATTCTTGCAATTCACAGATTCCATATTGTGAATTCACCTACTCACTAAAATTTATTTGTAACTGCAAAATTGATACTTGCAGTGCTTTTGGGTATTTATGGACATGCAGAGTGACAAAAATTTTGAGTCATCCAACATGCACATACCCAGCTGAGGTTTTAGTATTTACTAATTCAGTGTTCACAGCAACTCTATAGAACATAACTACCACGAATAACAAGAATCCTCTATATATAGGGAAATCAGTTGATTGTGAAATATACTATTTAAAATAAGGCACATTGTGAACAACCATGCCTAAATGGCAGCAATTTTATGAATACATATGGCTCTTTGGTAGCCATTTTGATGTGGTCATGTGATACCTCCCAAGAAAATGCCCAAACCTCAAACAGGTTAACTAGCTTTTCAAGTTTGTTTGCTCATTTATTTATTAAATTTATATAGACACACATTTCACATATGTGACTCTAGACAGCTCGCAATAAAATAGATAAAATACATCGTATAAAAAATAAAGCACATAGCAGACAAGCATTATAAAACAACTATCGACATAGCCAGGAAATGGGCTCTGTCACATACCCAGGGCCCCAGGCTCAGGTACCAAATTTTCAGGGCTTTACAGAAGGTCAGCAGAGATGGGGCTAATCTATTCTCAGAGGGTGGGTGCCACAGCAGAAAAGGCTCTCCTTCTGGGCCCTGCCAGCTGATGTTCCTTAACCAGTGGTACTCAGAGCATGCCCCTCCTGCTGGATGGGGTAAAATGCATAGACAACTGGGGATAGATGGTCCTATAAGTAACCCATAAGTTGGGTTAGAAATGTTCCCATAGACAGTGCAACTGGTTCCAAATAATTTCTATATGTTTCAGTGTAGTGGCCTGCACTGATATTGAGGTAGCCACATTTTCATTCAATGGAAAATTCTGAACCATCTTCAAAGACAGGCATATATAAATACATAAAGTTTGGAAGTGACTGGTGCATCAGTACACAAAGTCAAATCTCACTAGACAGATTTGCAGCTAGAATACTAATTTATAACATACTCTTGCTCAAAAGTATGTACAGCTACACAACAGGTAAGCCCATCTTGCAAACACTATTCAGGGAAAGTACAAAAAAACTGTAATTCATGCTTTCACCTGTATTGAACTCACAGTAATTTAATTTCATAGGGTTGAATTGTATTTCATTCAATGTCATGTATAGTTGGGTGGAATAATTAAATACTCTCTCACAAAGTGAAATTAGAAGCAGCTGAAAGGGATTTTCTTCAGGTGGAAAAAGAGCCAAAAAGAAAAGGATCAAGAAGCCTCTCTTATCCTGTGCTAGACTTTCCCTTCAAATCATAACATACTTCTGCTTTTTAATTTTTCAGTAAAGCAATTCAAATAGGATCTGACCATATTAAATGATCTGGGGTAGGGGAGGGGGAGAAACAGTAACATAGGAGTATTACAGGTAGTCAGAGTTCAAGTCCAGTGCTCATGAACTTAGTTCAGAACTTAATTTGTGAAATCACTTAAGGGGGAAACATTGTGTTGCAGCATCATCGAAAAAGGAGAAGAAAACTGTGGTCATCTTATTGAAGCTCACAAGGAATGCATGAGAGCTTTGGGTTTTAAGATATGAACAAGATGAGCCATATATTGGAATATTTCATAGGTAGGTAACTAAAAGACAATTTTTCAGAACATGGCTTACTCAATAAATATTGGGAAAAATATAATAATTCCCTAGCAAGCACCACTGCATTTGTGAGAATTTATAGAAACTTTTGTGGGGTGCGAAGCATGTATAATCTGTAATATGCCTATTGTATTTTCTTCTTTCCATTTTGTAATTGAAATGTGTTTTTAATTTTTTAATTTTAGTTTTCAGTCAGAAAGCCCTGTTTTGCTGCTGTCTTTCCTCTTCTCTTCCTCAATCACATTTTCTAGCAATCTAGCTTTTTTCCTTTTTTAAAGTGAAAAACATTATTCTTCATAGATACAGATATCCCAGCTTATGGTTGGTATAATGCCTTATGGTTTATCTGCTCTATTTCTACTAGTTGGAAATAGGACTTGGCACAATGAAGTTGAACCATTCCTACTAAGACAAAATGTTTGTGGGGGGGAGGGTGAGTGTATTTTTACTTTAGTACTTTAGTAATGCACAAATTCTACTTTAGTAATACATGAATTGACGGTCGTCATCAAAGGTACATTGGCTACATCCTCACAGATTTGGGTACATGTGTTTGTCTACCTGTATTCTTTCATGCTTACTCTTTAGTATACACTTTAAGAATATAAAAAGTGTTAAGAATATGTCATAAATGAACTAAAATAAGCAATCTGGGGGAAACTGTTACCTCCTCACAATCATATGAATATTCTGTAAATTATGTCACTTTTTGTCTGCAGGAGATATGTTCCAAAAATGCTGTCTTCCAAAGCCTTAAAAGCTATTTATTTCCCAATAGCAGACTATTCTCATTTTGATTCTATCAACAAAAAAATGAGAAGATTCTTATGATTGATTGTCCTGTATCCATAGTAAGATATGATAACCCTACTACAGGATTCACATCCTGCTGCTGATTAGTGAATTTAGAAAAATCTGCAAATATATTAACCCTAAAGGAAAAATAACCAATGTATAGTTGCGGCAACTACATGTGGAGTAGGTCCCCAATATTCTGTGGTCTTAATCTAGCTAATTGATGTATTGTATAAACTAACTGTGATTTTAGGAATGATAAGAGGCCTTGTGCTTCCCTCCCTCCGTTGAAGGCACTGCAGGACCAATCTCCTATGTTGTCCTAATTGTTGCCATCTTTCTGCTAAGAAATCTGAAATCTATAGAAAATATGTTCAACATGTATTTATTTGTTTATTTTTATTTATTTATTTGTCCAATATTTGTATG